GGTATTAAGCTGAATTAACAGAATTCATAAACTGCAGATTACTTCTCTTTGTATCATGCAGTTCATACAGTTTCATCATACAGTTCATCATACAGTTTTGAAAAGAAGAAATCAAAATCCCTCATCATTACAAGATCCTGTCATAAATGTTCATCAATTAATATCTGAGACTTTGATTAATATCTGAGACTTCATTATGCGGGGGCTATTCAGAAAGTAAGGAACATTTCATTCTCACACTGCTAGGCACATGCCGATCTCGTACATTTTGGTGCGTGCATACTCGGCAACTCAGTCGGTGTACAGCCGTGGCAACGGAAACATCCCTGCACTGCCTGTTTTCTCGCAATTTCAACTGAAGATGTGATTGATAATCCCTCCAGTTGTGAGGTGTGGTTAGTAATACGGGTTTTTTTGGCAAAAACTTAAAACCGATAGACATTTATCGCTAAGTGTGTGAAGTTTATGGAAACAACATAATGAATGAAAGTTCTGGGTGAAAATGGTGCATCCAGTTTAAAAATGGCTGAACTGACGTTCATGACAAAGCTAAGAGCGGATGCCCGAGCATTGTGACTGATGAACTGGTCGCTAAAGTTGATGAAAAGGTTGACGAAAACCGCCAATTCACAATAACAGAGCTTTCGCCTCGTTTCCCACAAGTTTAACAGACTTTGTTGTTTGAAGTTGTCACACAAAGGTTAGGCTACCACAAATTTTGTGCAAGATGGGTACCGAAAATGCTCACTGACCTACATAAAGGTCAGTGAAGGGGGTCAGCTCTGACATTTCTGGATGCCTACGACAGACAAGGTGAATCACTACTGGATCGCATCGTAACTGGTTATGAGAATTGGGTTAAACACGTTACTGTAATTGTGAATCAAAATTACAGTCCATGGAGTGAGAATGCACGAGCTCCCCCTAAAAACCAAGAAAACATTTTCAAACATTGTTAGCAAGGAAGATTATGGTGACGGTTTTTTGGGACAGGCAAGGTGTGATTTTTATTGACTTTCTTAAACATGGTGCAACAATAAACTCTGCCTACTGTAAAACTTTGCGCAACCTTAGGAGAGCAGTTCAAAACAAGCGCCGAGGAAATTGATGTCAAAAATGTTGTTTGTGCATGACAATGCGCGACCTCACACAACAAACTGTTCCAAAGAACTCCTTGACACATTCAAATGGGAGGTTTTTCCTCATCCCCCCCCCCCCTATAGTTCTGACCTTGCACCAAGCGATTTTCACTTGTTTTCAAGAATGAAGACCTGGCTAGCAACACAGCGCTTCGACGACGACGCGGAGCTCAAGGTGTGCGTATGGTAAAAATAATTTTTTTTACTCCTTTTTTTATATTTAAAAACCTTCCTTACTTTCTGAATAGCCCTCGTATACAAAAAAACAATTTTATCTGAATCAATATAGAAGGATAGGCTAATATTAAAACTGTAGAACTGTTTTACGCTGCTCCTCGGCCTGTTGTTCCTCGGCTTATAACATGTATTTCGTTGTTGGTTAAGGTTACTACTAGCTGTCTACAATAAAATTTGAACTAGTGCTTTTAAAATTAAATGTCCGTTTTAAAAACAGATTATGTTAACTGTGTTAACTAGTTTTATAAAAAGTAACTATATCCCTATGGTAGAGAAGCTATCCTGATTATAGTATTGTTATTATTTGAGTGTTACTACAACTCTGAGATTCTGATTTTCTGGTTCCAGATCACTTGAAAACACAGAGATTATAGCCCTTCTAAATGGAGTACATTGCTTCAATCAAACTCATTATGTTCCTACCCTCACTACAGCCATTAGACTGGCACTATATGCAGGGCCGATTTACCAAATAGGCAAGGTAGGCACGTGCCTATGGCGCGAGGCAATTGGCTTTTTTGGGGGGCGCCAAAAAGTTGGAAAAAACAAAAAAAATTGTGGCCGTTTTTGCATGCGATCGCGGTAAACTGATAATTCCTTGCGACCTTGAAGACACGTTAACAGTCTCCCACAATTGCGGCAAGATGTTAATTATTTCCCGCGGTTGTATATGCGTCATCATCGTCTACCGCAAATGAGGCAAAATTGTAATCTTTTCCCGGGGTCGTGTGGACATTATCATCTTCTTTGATCACGATAAAATTCTGATAATCCCTCACAGCCGTGAAGACATCATCGCCTCCCGTGGTCGTGAGGCATTGCCATCCTCTCCCGCCATTGCGGCAAATGGTAATCATCTCCCGCGGTTGTTTGGAGATCATCATCGTCTTTCGCGAATGAGGCAAAATTCTGATCTTTCCCGTGGTTGAGTGGTCATTATCATCGTCTTATGCGATTGCGGTAAAATTCTGATCATCTCTCGCAACCGTGTAGAGTAGACATCATTATTGTAACTCCCGCGATCCTGTAGACATCTTAAACGTCTCCCGCTGTCGTGAAGACATCGTAATCGTCTCCCGCGGTCGTGAAGACATCGTAATCGTCTCCCGCTGTCGTGAAGACATCGTAATAGTCTCCCACGATTACGGCAAAATGTTAATAATATCCCGCAGTTATGTGGAGATCATTATCGTCTTCCGCGATAGTGGCAAATTTCTGACTGTTTTCCGCGGTTGTGTGGACATTATCTTCGTCTTCTGAGATTGCGGCAATATTCTGATCATCCCTCGCGGCTCTGTAGATCTGATTGTCGTATTGCGCGATCGGGGTAAAATCATGATCATATCCCGTGGTCGTTTAGACATTATCATAGTCTTGCGCGATCGCGGTAAAATCATGATCATATCCCGTGGTCGTTTAGATATTATCATCGTCTCATGCGATCGCGGCAATATTCTGATCATCCTTCACGGATCTGTGGATCTCATTATCGTATTGCGCGATCGCGGTAAAATCATAATCATATTCCGCGGTCGTTTAGATATTATCATTACCTCATGTGATCGCGGCAAAGTTCTGATTATCCCTCGAGGCCTTGTGGAGACATATTATCGCCTCCCGTCTCCCGTGTCGACGGAAACGTCACTGTTGTAAATTGACAATTCCAGGTAGAAATAGAAAATTCACACATAATTCCCGGTTCAAAAAAATTCACGCTTAATTCCCGGATTTCCCGGTTGGTGGTCACCCTGTTATATATTGCAAAGGGGCGCTACTATTAGTTGTGCCTAGGGTGCTGACATGGTCAAAAACGGGCCTGACTATATGGTAAAAAACACATGAAAATATCAATGTTATAGGGAATGTGAAAACCCATCATTAATTCTGTTGACAATTTAACAAAACTGTTAAAAGGTTGTTTTTTACGCATAAATCTGTTTGATTCAGGAATTAAGATTTTTGTAAACGCCATTCACGCTTAATGCCACAAAAACTACTCTAAATATAATAAATGCAAGCCAGTGACTTATTTAAAATCTATTAAACCTGTATACCTAAACATTTATTTTTAAAAGGAATGTAACAATTTTTCACTTTATCTTAACATTACTAACATTAAGAAACGTACATCTGCTACGTTTATCTTTAGGTAAGATTAACACAATTAAAAAACTAGAAAGTAACTTTGTCTAAATTTACTTTGAACAATTTCCTCAGTAAAAATCATAAATAAATAACAATTTTACTCAAATGAATTCATTACGCTCACCAAAAATATTCAGAGTACATCAAAATTAATATTATTTGAATATTAACAATAATATTCAAAATTAATATATTACAGTAACTGTTATTTTCACTGAATTTTCTTTAAATCTATTACGTTATTGCTTAAAAGAAAAATCACAGTTTTTGTAAAAATGACATACACACCCTATCACAAGAATAATAAACAAATCAAATTAATTTAATTTAATTTTTTTACAAGGAGAATTGACAAAATATGTACAACGAACAATGTAAAATCTACTTATTTCATACAACTTAATGAATCTTATATTGTATTTATAACAATCTAACATGACATAATAGCCCTTAAAAAAATCTAGCAAACAAAATAAAAAGCATTAAACTTTATAATCTTTACAAAAACACGTTTAATTATCAGTTAACAAAGGGTAACATCAGTCGGAAATAAAGTACAGCTAATCTGTTCCACTATAATATCACAATACTCTGGAACCCAGATTTCCCGCCCTAATTAACAGTTCTTTGGCATCATAATTTGGTTAATATAACCATCGGAATATCAAAAACTAATCTAATGCAACTATATTTAATGTCTTCAATTACTCAAAACTCAAAAGGTAACTAGAAGTATCCATTTCCCAGAGATAAATTCATGCTGAGCATATTGGCTTACGAATACACAAGCAAACCTTTAACATAGGTTTTTGCATAGTTTTTAAATGTTCTAAACTGTATAGTGTTTATAATTTTACTTCCCCTGAGTAATTTAGTAGCAGTATACATATAAGTACAGCAAAAAGATAACTTGCATTACTTTGGTAAAATAGCACAATTGGCTTATAGGCCTACATTGTAGAGTTTGTGTCCAGTCAATGTTGTGTGTCAATGTGTAAATGTATGTAGAGTACTATGAGTCTTTAATTTCGGTTCCTTAATTATCATTTTAATGTTACTTGTTTGCTTGGAAATTTAAAATTTCTCCTTATTTATTAGTAATTTTAGGATGTATACCGCGACATTTAAGAACACATGTATACTTGTAATTACTATTTACTTGTACTTGCATTTTAAATTCAATACTCAAAGTAATTGTTTCAACTGACTTTTATTAAATAACAAAATACTGTTTGTTAATACATATAGATTTTTCCATAATTCATCTACAATTTCCCAACTAAAGGTGTCTACTCTTACTGCAGAACTAAAATTATTTACTTTTCCACTAAAAGCTTTATTTTTTGTTAATTTAAATCAGTCAAATCTCATCTAAAATCTAAAATACAAAAATATCGCAAAAAAGCTTTTTGAATGTTCAAATTTTGTAATTTTGAAATGTTGAAATAATACTCTGTCGCAGAATGACTATGAGTACACATCAGCCCAGGATCAGGTTATCTGAATGTTTTGCCCTGACTCATCTAACTAATAACTAAACTAAATGTCTAAGGGTATTAAAACTATTAATACTGACTTAACTTGGAAATCTTTGAGAAAGTATCAAGTATATTATTAGGATGGATGTTAATTTATAGTAATTTGAATTTTAAACCGTATCAATGCTTGCTTATTTTATACTTCACAAGACAAAAAACTGACGATCAATTATTCAATAAGTCATAAAATAACACACAAAAAACAAACATAAAGTAACGAATGAGATTCGGATCAAACAGATGAAACTTAAATTATTCAGATGAATAGGGTCTGTCCAGAGAAGGTTAGTGGATCGGCTTGAACAAGAGTTGTTAGAAGTGAAATGAGTTGACTCTCCTCATTCCCTGAGATGCAGTGTATTACCACAACACCTTTGCGCAGTTTGTCATAATGATGAGACATGCTACGCCCAGACTTCTGCAGACTGTAAACACTCTTGGTCTGTAGACCCTCCACACTGGCATTCCAAATCACATGGATTATTAGACCCTAGAACAGACAACTTATGGATAGAGAGGTTGCTTCCCTAATTTGTTCTATATTGGTTTTATAATACTAACATGTTTGCTGCTGATGACACACAAATGTGTCATTGGTAAAGTGGCGTACCGGTAACTAGAACATGGCTTTGGGGGGGGGGGATGGATCAGCCCCAACACCGGGGGGCCTGGGGGGTTTGGAATAACCCCCAGCTTAAAGGGGGTCCGGAGAAAATGAAAAAATTAGAACTTCAAACTCACGTTTTCAGGCATTTTAGAGGTATAATCATGTTCAAAAGAACTCCAAAAATCAACCCAATCGAGGATGTCCCTGGCCGGTCAGTATCAGGAAATAGCAAGTAACTAAGTAAAAACATACGGATAAATCATAATGAACATGATTTCACTTCATATCTTGGAAAAGTAGATATGAGACAGCATATTTTTGAGTTTAGATTTGTGTCGGTTGAAGAAGTTTTTAAAACTATTAATAACTTACGTGCAAGTAAATGTTTGGATATCTATGGATTGAATTCAATTATTCTTAAACACGCTTCTTTTAGTATTTGTGAAGTATTGACCACAATATTTAATAGGCTGATAAAAAAGGGTGTATACCCAACAGTACTTAAAAAAAATTAAAGTGGTTCCAGTTCCCAAGAAAAATAATGATAGTTATGAAAGCTTCAGACCAATATCAATTGTACCAACCATATCAAAGTTGTTTGAATTACTCATGTATAACCAGGTGTATGAATACTTTGAAAGGAACAAAATGTTTACTGATAGGCAGTTTGGGTTTCGCTCTGGGAAGAGCACAAGTGATGCTGTTGTTAGTTTAGTTATAGATGTGGTTAAAAATATAGAGAACAAAAGACTGGTTTGCTTTCGCTCTCTTGACATGTCAAAAGCATTTGACACTGTAAATCACAACATATTAATACACAAATTAAAATTTTATGGTTTTCAAGACAATTCAATTAAACTTATCAATTCGTATTTAAAAAATAGAGAACAATTTGTTAGTTTCAAAAATGAGTTATCTCTTGGAAAAAATATAGACGTTGGTGTTCCTCAGGGATCTTCTTTAGGGCCACTACTATTTAATATCTATATCAATGATCTGCCATACAATTTGATAGGTAAAAACATTAATAGTTTTCTTTACGCTGATGACCTAGGCTTGAATGTTTGTTCTGAATCTAGAGATCAAATGAATCACATCCTGCAAAATGCTACGGATCTGATTTATCAGTGGTGTAATGCTAATAGATTATGCATAAATCTAAATAAATTGCAAGATTTAGAAATTTGTTTCTCAAATAGGCAGTATCTATTAAATGAGGTAAAACCTTTAAGATTTCTTGGAATTAATTTAAATGCAAAACTAGATTGGAAGGATCACATTGACATAACCTCAACCAAACTATCGAAAGGTGTTTACTGCTTAAGAAGATTTAAAGGTTGTGTAACACAAGATGTTTTGATAACAGTGTATTATGCACAGATACATAGTTTATTGAGTTATGGAATATTGGTGTGGGGTTTCCAATCATATACCAAAAAGTTATTTAAATTGCAAAAAAAAGGGCGATAAGGCTTGTAAGTGGTGTACGCTATAGAACTCACTGTAAACCTATATTTAAACATTTCAAAATTTTAACTTTTTCTGCAATATATATTCTTCAAGTTCAGTTGTATGTAAAAAATCTTTTAGAAATGTTCTCAGAAAATTCAAATAAACATAATTATGAAACCAGATTTAAAATCAACATACAAAAAAAAAATACAAAGCATTAATACTCAAAGAGTCAAACAAACATTCAATACATGGCAGCAAAATTGTTTAATAATTTATCAGTGGAGTCCGGGGAGTTGTCCTTGAACACTTTCAAATCAAAAATGAAAACATATTTAATACAAAAATGCCCGTATACAGTGAAGGATTTTTTTACATGTCAAAATATTTCTATTTAATTGTGCCTGTATTTATATATTTATATATTTGTTTAATACTAGATCTTGTTATATTGATTGATTACACGTAAGTATTCATTTGCTGTAATAATAACAGCATTATTTATTTTATGACGATTGTTAATGCATAGTGAAATGTCTACAACAATAAATTGATTTGATTTGATTTGATGAAATCATAATCACAACACAATTAACAAACAAACTATCATTAAGTTTTTGTTGTACTGTAGCCTTCTTAGCTGCGTGTGAAGAGCCGTATCTACTGAGTTTTTATTATAAATTGATTATAATAATAATAATAAAAATCTTTATTTGTCATAAGGATACATTAGATCATCGACAAAGTCAAAATCATGATTATACATCAATCGTCAAACAAAACAAAATCAAAAACACTTTCAATATTTTGAAAAAACAATAGGGCTTAATAGCTAAAATATGTATATATGACTAAACAAACAACACCTGATAAAGCAACAGGTTAGCAGCAGGGTTATACAATCAAAGATTTATTTGGCCAGATTTGAACAAATCGTCCAGGCTATAAGAAAGGTTGTGTAATAGCCAATTATAAAACAAGGACTTAAATTTTTCTTGCGGATAAGCATCAATATTGTGTTTTAAAAGGTTATATACTTTAGTTGATAACACTATGTGGCTCTTGCTAGTCTTACTCAGACGATGTGATTCTAACAAGGCACTATTTTTAAATCTGGTATTGTGATTATGATTATTGAATTTTAGGTGATGGGGTTTTTTTAAGATATAATGGGCAAGATCATAAATAAACAAATTTATTACAGTTTGAATCTTAAAATCCTTAAAAAGAGGCTTGCAGTGCTCGTCTGGATTTTCACAGGCTGAAAACTTAAACTTACAGCGCATGAGCGGCAGTGTGGCCAACCTAATGTGACGATTTTCCACGTAATCGCCACTGGAAATACCCGATTTTATTCGCAAAGATTATGAAATGAAATTACCCGTGACAATTCCTGATTGATCCTCTGTGAACAATGTTCATTATTAAACCATTATGGAGGAGGTTATTCAGCCTAATTAAAGCAATATTTTTTTTTCCTTTGGGAGGGGTTCTATCCTCCTCATACCCCCTCCCCCTCCCTAGTTACGCCACTGCATCGGTATATCAATAAATAATTATAACAATATAAGGAAACTGTATACAAATAAATATATCATACAATTTATTGAATATAGAAATAAATTAGCACTGTACACACAGCCACACTATATATAATATCATTAGCAGTGAACGTGAATTTGAGCGCGGTCTGCCAATGCGAAAAAGGCCACTCACCGATATATCGGCAGGTAGGGATTATTAATTTAGAGCTCAGGTAATGCACCTAACAATAATAAAATACATATACCATATTTCATTTAAGCTAAAAAAATTTCCCTACAAAATTTAAATACTTTATACAGTATATACAAACATTTTTTACTATAATACATAATTGGAAAATAAAACAATTCAGATGGCTGTGGCACTGTCTGGCCTTGCCTGAGCCTTCCCCACTCCTGACCTGCCCCAGCTTATTACATTCACAAGCCAAAGGTTGTTGTTTATATTGTCAAAAGCCTTAGTAGTGTTGTTTTGTATCATGTTTGTACACATTTAGTATAGTTTTTAGTTACTAGTGAATAAATAATGCACAAATCGAGCAAAAAACGGTGTTGCAAATCTCTTGTTAACTAGTGAGAACTTGTTGGTAAGCAGAATACAAACTGAAGAAAACATTAATTTTGATTTCGCTGAAAATTGAAGTGACTATGATTACCTAATAATCAGTTTATATTTCAATTCAATAAGAGAGAATGAGTACGATGAGAATGACACTCAAGCTGATCCGGAAAGAAGGCTAATAGGGAATAATGTTCAGTCACGGTCACCTAATATAAAGGACTCGTCATTTTCTGAAGAAGATACTCCTACTTCAAATACTGTTAGGCCTAGTACGAGATCAAGAGGTAGACTGAGAGGAAGAAGAACCATGATATATGGTGTTTGAAGCATGAAAGAGCATTCTGAGATAACTAATAAAGTGATGCATGACTCAGAAACAACTCAACGAGTGGGTTAGAACTCGACCATATCCAGAACATGAAAGCAGCAGTTGGGATGATCTGGCTGAAGAAGTAAATAATGGATATGAAAGTCAGTTTATGTTTTTGGAACAATCCATGCCAAAGTATTGTCCCTTAGTAAATTCAAAACCAATTCCAAACTTCAACCTCTCTTCCACTGTAACCTTCATTTCAACCTTTTGTTAAGAGGTTGGCGGCCTCTTTTAACCTTGCATTTGCCCGTCCACATAGACTAAGCGTCCGTGCGTGGATCGTTTACAGCAAAGCAAGGAGTTGTAGGCCTACTGATAAAATGTTATTGGCAGTGACCAGGATCCGAGCCCACGACATCGCTGCCTTGGGCCCGAAGTCCGCGACGCTACCGACTGAGCCACCGATTCACTAAAACAGGTAACCATTGTGACTGAGACAAACCACAATTTCCAAAAATGTGGGATCTCCAAAATTCTGAATTCATGACTGGGTGAGAGTTAGCCTACCTCAGATGAAATGAAAGCGTTTTTGGCATTCACAATGAACATGGGCGTAGTAAGAAAAACAAACATAAAAAGCTACTGAGCTCTCTACTCCATGGTGTTAAAACATGAGCCAAAACCGGTTTGAATGACTTCTAAAATGTTTTCATGCAGTGGATACTACTACCCTTTCCAGAATGGTGAACCTGGCTACAACCCTTGCTCCATATTTCAACCAGTCATAGACCCTGCGAATCGGCTATTCAAGCTATATTAAGTATGTCCCCTATCAAAACTGAGCATCGATGAATGCCTTCTTGGGACAGAAAAACCCATAGCCCTTACCCAATACCTTAAAAAAAAAAACACCACGGATGGGTAGTAAAGCTATGGGTGTTGTTGTGTGACACCATAACACACAACTGTGTGTTTTTTTTCTGTTACAAAGGTGCAAGTACGATATCGCTGAGGGAAGGGGCCAAAATGGATACGAAAACTAAAGAGGACTAGAAGAAAGGACTAGTATAATACATTATTGAAACACTTTGAAAACAAAAATGGGAAACGTGCTAAACAAAGGGTACAGTAGACTCCCTCTTATCCGGACTCCTCGGGACCGAGGCCAGTCCGGATAACGGTTTTTCCGGGTAACCAACGTCCCCAAAATCTCTTTAAAACGGACCGTTTAAATGCATACTCTATACAGTATTTGACTTAAAATTAGGAGAGCATTGTATTTAGACACGTAATCACTGGTCTCAAATCTTTCCCACGAGAACTGTTGTTTCAGTACCGCCCACTTCCTACCAATCTAGTCGGTTACACCGATGCGCTAATAAAAATTATCCGGATAAAGAGATGTCACTTCTACCGAGTGTATTCCAGTCAAACCGATGTCCGGTTAAAAGGTGTCCGGATAAGAGGGAGTCTACTGTATCATCTTTTTATAGACAACTTTTTCATCACTATTACCCTGGCCCGAGATCTTTATTCTAAAATGACCTGGCTATGGGGCAGAGTAAGTTTGGATTGGAAGTGACCACTTCTTGTGAGAAAACCACTTCACAGGAAACATGCTGTTCGAAAAAACATTTTCAAAAAGGGCCTATCCTAACAATGGCTTTCAGCGAAAAGCCAACCAACAAATCATAGTTTAGCCCATTCTTTTATCCTCTAAAAGCTTGCCAAAAACAATTCAATTTACTCGTATGAGGAACAGATGAGTGCTGATCAAAATAATCCTCAGATAGTGCACGACTATATGGGTATGAGTGGGATGGATGGTGTACAAATCAAATGCTGTACACCTATTTGAAGTATGAAAACATGGGAAAAAGTGTTTGTTGGGGGCTGGTGACGGGCCCAAGGATACCTGTACTTTCTAAATTCCTGATGGTAATGAAAAAAGTTGCAAGGAGTGCAGCGGGCAAAAGGACCCAGAGGGTAGACGTCGCCAAACAAGGACAATGTGTAACGACTGCCGTAGAGCTGTTCACCCTGAGTGTTATACAAATCAAATTTGTAACTTAATATTTGTGTTGTGTAAATAGGTTTTTTTTCTAAAAGGCTATGGTGTTGTTGTGTTACACCATAACACACAACTGTTTTTGTTTTTTTCTGTTACGTACTATACTACTGAGGGAAGGGGCCAAAATGGAGACAAAAACTAAAGAGGAGAAGAAGAAACACAACATGTACTATATTCATGTTTTTTTTTATTCTATCTCAGCATTCATATTTGAAGTTAAAGACATTCCCTACATAAATTAAGGTAAATAGACTCACCCACTAATATCACATTACAAGTCCTAATTTGTATTGAATGGTTTTTAACATCTGAAATCAGACTTGACTACACATCTTATTAGGTAATGAATGAAACAAATTGCAGTTTTAATAAATTAACTGACCTGGTTTACAGTGTCTAACATAGGAGCAAAATCTACAAGCTGGGTATCCTGTATCTCCTGCTGATGGAAGCAGATTACAATGTTGAAAGTGTGTTGATCAGTGTTGTTGGAGTCAGTATCTTCTGGTGAAACAACATGACGCACAGTCTGGGCCGCAGATATGTTAAGACTGTCAACCAGAGTATTAATAATTGCATTCTTCTCAGTGCTGATGATGCACACATTGTTGTTTTTCCCTGAAATGTAATGAATAATTTATAATTATAAAATGGCAATGAACGTTTGACACAACATGGTTACAGAACCACTATGATATAAAGCTGAAAGAAAGGAGAAAGATGGAGGAGAAGTTTAAAAAATGGTTAGCACACCACATTAAATTCTGGGCTTAATCATACCAAACCAATACTTAAAAAAATTGACCCAATCAACATACTTTATTATGATTAAATTATAGTCGTGGACAGGGTATCTCTGGACCAGAAAAAGAAGACCTACCTGCCTCGGCTATTGTGGGATGGCGTATTTTTTTAATATGGGTACCAAAGTAGAAGTGACCCCTCTCCCCACTCCAATCAGAGATAGGGGTGTTCTGCCATCACATCAAAATGTTGGTAGCTCTTGACTTTGGGAGGTCAAGCTGTCGGCCTTTCTAGGTGTTCCCTTCTGAGGGTAACAACCATTTGATTGTTGAGTTTTCTTCTAAATTCCTAGGTTGTTTCTAGGGATGTGTCGATTCTCGATACCGAATACCACCGATACTCGGCCGTTGGTATTGGTATCGAGAATCGATCGTCAAAAGTCAATCCCTATACCGATACCCGTCACACCCGTGCGACCAAAAATGATCGCTATTGCCATCATTTTTTTACCATCCAGTAACAGCAAAAGTAATCCAGACTGTTTAGTGAACAGAACTACTTGACACTGGCCTTTCTTCATACCACATATCTGGGCACTAGCTTAAAATTTATTTTAACAGTTTATAGAGTTTATAGTGTTTCTATAATTTTTATTGTTTTGTTAATACAGAAAAATCAAAAGTTTCCCTGATTTCATTTTCCACCTATCTAGATGGACCATTAAACATGTTGAATAAATCCGATTTAAAAAGGCCTTAAAATGTCACTACAAGAATATACCGGTACTGTAGGTTTATGTTTAAAAATAAAGGGGGTTGGTCTAAATTAAAACTTGAGAGGAATTCAATACTAACAACACCTGCGAATGTAATCTAAGCCATATCTTATCATATGAGGGATAAAGATTCTTCTGATATGATAATTTCCCCAACCATGATGAAAAATTTTGACGGTTACTCGATTGACAAAATTGACGGTAAGAATTTCAGGGTACACACTCAAACTTGATAGTAAAATTTGTAGTTTTTCGCAGTCATATTTTAGCTTATGTCAGGTACATGCGGAATCACTCAGACACTACAGCATGTCAAAGTGTATCTCAAGGACAGACGGAGGTAGTGAAGCTGCAGTGTCTTCAAAGTGTGCAATCTAAAACCGCCAACACGCTTGGAGGCGATTTCAGTTCTTGACCAAGTTAAGATGATGTAGTTAACCATAAGAGATTGTTCAACTATTAGGCATGGGCTGGTCTTGAAAGTTTTGGGGGAAAAACATACTCGGTCTTTGTGGGGTATAATTTAATCCAGGATTTCCGCAGGAGGTGATTTATTTCAACTATCAGCAATTTTCTACAATACCGATGCTGAGGATGGTAATGTTCCCTCAATTGCATGAGTAAAAAGTTAAATGCCCGCAATTACAGATTACAGTCATGATTACATAGAACAGTCAATTAAAGAAAGACTGAAAACTTATATTGATTGCAATTATGTTTATTAGCTAAGATTATTAATCACAATATTTAAAACAAACTTAAATACTTTTTTGCAAAGGAAGAAAATCCTGTCCTAGAATTCAGGGAGGATATAAAAATTGTTTTGTGTCCTGTCCCAACTAAAAGTATAATTCCATCCATTCGTATATATACATAATTTGAAAAGTAATTTGGAACATTTAAATGTTTAAGCTTTTTCTTATGTACAATAAGATCTGAAAATGCAGGTACTTTTTATTTGTCATTGCACAGTAAATTCCGGAATTGGTATTGAATTCTCGAATGAAGTATTGTTATTGGTTCCTCGATAGTCGATACCACCAGTATCGAAACTTTTAAAGAATCTAGAATCGGATTGGCTTATCTTTGTTTTTCCACTATAACAGCAACATATTTAAGCTTACGTTTTATGGTCACAGCAGCCAGATAAAGATCTTGTTTATGGGTGACTTTCCAAAGATCCTCTGAACCTGGGATCAGTTTTGCCTTTGTTCCACAGTACTTTAGAACTAACGCAAGACATTCTGTGCCATAATTAAGGTCCTCTTCTGAACACTAAAGCAAAAAAGACAATTTTATTGATTATTGACGGTAGAATCTTTTAAGAGACATGTAAATAAATTTGTAGAAGATTAAACACATATAAAAACAATGTTATATGGAACTGGGTCACATACCTTAAGAATGGCAATTTGTAACTCGGCTTCAAAGAAAGAGTGACCTGACACCATGAGAATTATTTCTAGAAATTACATGAAACATAATTCCACATAAGGAGAATTGAATTGAGAAATACAGGGATCAAGGGGATTACAATTATCAGCTGATTAGCCAGTGTTCACTGATTTTCGTTTTAGGTAGATTTTGGAACCTTATAAGTAAATGCAGGTGATCCAGTAGTACCCTTGAGCTAATGCTGTTTTGTTTGATCCACAGAAGATCATCATCATGCTCAAAGACATGAAGATGTCAATCAACAGACTTCGTCAGTCTCTTTTATTCCACTTATAAGTTATTATTATTAAAATAAATAATAATTATTAGTATTTAAATTATTATTATTTTTTATGTCTGTATAGGTCACATCAGCAAGCTAGTTGTGGCTGCAATGGTAAAGGTAATGCAAGTGGCTGGTCTTGATTGAACAAGCAATGTCTAGCTTATCATTTATGTGTATTTCATCAATTCTAGAATGACTGATTAAAATGTATATACTATAATGAATAAAAAAAATGGGTGATGAAAGTGAATATAAGAAAGACGGGCAATAAACGTTCCGTGTGATACTACTTTTTTTATATGGCAAATTATGAAAGACAATAAAAGTGTGTTGTGTATCTTAAACATTTTAATTGGCAAGTTTAAAAACATTAGGAGGCTTAACAAAGGGATTACACACTGATTTTGAATGGCTGCAAAGTGAGAATCCTAAAAAAATTGAATTCTGGGATCGATCTTGGTTTGGACAGAATCCCGGAATCCTGGCTTTGTGTTAGAGCATCGGGATTGAGACTTCTAGTTGTGGTCAAGTAGGTGTTTATATTATTTGATTATGATTTTAAATTCCAGTTCAGCAGTGTCAAGCAAATGCAGTTCTAAAAGCATTAAACTGTAAAACTGCTTAGTGTCAGAACTAATTAAAACTTATCTCACTAAACCTATTAAAATACAGACTTGTCTGTAAATTAATGCCCCCAACAGACTCCTGTCAAAGTGTGCTACTTCAAATTTAAGACTCTGTTTTTCACATCATCCACTACTGTTTTAGCTGATTCCTACACCTATGCAAAGATGAGTAAAGTTATAGTAGCCATAAACAATCTGAAGGAAAATCTACTCTCTCGCTAAGTGGGGTTAAAAACCCTGAGAGAAATATGTTCTGTGAGTTAAGCTGTCAACCCCTTTTAAAGCCCACTGCCAGTTGACAGACTGGAATTGAGTAAATTGTTAGTTTGGACGTAGGAAATGTGCCTAAAAGGTTGAGGGAGTTAAAACATTTCCACAGTTTGTACAGTGTTTTGCATGGTGTAGGTCGTCTGTGATCATTCATTTGGTCTATTTAGTTACCAAAGTTGAGAAAATGTTGCCTTTGAATCACATTATTATGATAGAACGAGAGAATGCCAAATGGATACGTGTCAACAAGATACAGTAATCAAGAACCAAGTTGTACTATTAGCATAACATACCTAGTAGCATTGACTATTGGATACTGAAGTAAACATCCCATCTATATGGACCAGCTGCAGCCAATTTTTTGTTAAAAAAGAATGTAGTTGTGGGAGCCAGTCACAGAATGTGCTAGTGTCTAAAACTCTATTGTCTACCTTTTTTGTTGTTAAATAAAACCTTCAAAATAGTTAATACATCTAAATTCCGCTGAAAATTACAATAAAAATGATACCAAACAACCCATGATTTACTTAAATATTCCATCACAAAACATGCTGCAATATATTTCAGGTTGCCGATGACTAATATTGTTGTTTAGTATTAATTTTCTCGTGTTGATAGCAGAATCCATTACTGCTAACTATTTTAGGTTTAATATTTAAGTTAAATCTTTACATTTGATATAGGAAATGCCACTTGGGACTAATTAACGGAGCGCAGAGCAGAATGTGGCCGGTTCTAATCCCCTGTCCTTGTGTGGGTGAGGTCTGAGCGTGTGTACGTGAGCCTACCTGGCGTTCAGGGGCACTCCCGAGTTGCTAAATGTATAATTCACAATAAGTCATTCTATTATGGTGAATTGGTAAAAAAATGGTGTATTCGACAGAAATCAATAATTTAGATCAGCACAATCTGTCGGTGGCTCACATCAACTACAACGACTTTGGTTAAAAAAACTGGCTACAAATTTAACATGGGGATATAATGTCTAGTTGTATTAATAATAGTCAAAGCTAGTAGTCTTAAGCAAGCCGATCAGCAAGCAAGTATCCTCAACTTTATCCTTTGTCTCTAAGGAATCTGAGGACAACCCGTTACTAGCTGTTGTGCAAATGTGTACGGCCTTCAGCCAACTCCATAAGCCATTTGTGCACATTTTTAATGGCCAAACACTTTTCTACATTCACATTAGGATTCATTTTGTATTTGCCCCCTTCCCAAAGAAACTCAATTTTTTAAGCCATACAATGACAAGACAAATCGGATCGTCGCAGGGGGTAGGAACTGACTAGAATAACGTTTGTTTTTTTTTTGTCCTAGGACGCTAGGCACGAGTCTGGAATTGTTTTTCCCATTACTTCAAGCTAGACCTAGGGGTCGCGGCATTATCACTTAGAAAAAATCCATTGGTGATTTGGCAGGATTTGAACCCAGGAACTCGGGGACCAAAGTACAGCGGTCTAACCACTAGACCAGCTAGCTCCCCGGCTAGAATAAGATTGGATGAAGTAAAAATTGAAACGTTTGTTTCAGATTTGAACTATTACCACAGTGGGAGCTTGGTGTAGGTAGACCATAATTTATATACAGCCCTTGTACAATAACAATCATACACTAGGTTTGCAACTATAAACCAGGCCTACAAAAATATAAAACCTGTTTCTTCTGTATTAGAGCGTTTTATTTCAAAGGACGTTTAAATTTAATTTATTCTGTTGTCTGCAGAACACAAAACCCCGGTCTTACATTTAGTAGCTTACAAATAGTTCTTAAAATAGCATAAAAGATGTAAGATTTTTCTGGACATACAGTAAAAAAATTTTAATCTCTAAATGACAAATTTTATATGGACGGTGGAGGGGGGGGGCATTACTTTCGCCTGACTGATTTTCTATAAAGAAGCATCCAGCTTGACAGTGATTCCCACAGTGTGTGTGCACTATACACCACCACCTAAACTAATATGAGGTACATACCTTTACGTCAACAGTTCAATTGTCGTAAGTAGAACTCACAACATGTTTCGCCTATTCAGGCATCGTCAGGTGATATCCTAACAAGAATGTTTTGTCTTCATCCATGATGGGGTCGTCAAGAAACATTTAAATAAATACACACACATTACGCACGAAAACATTTAACAATTAGAGTAGGCCTACTATTACCGGTCGCGGTACGGAGGCAGACTGAACATGCTGGAATTATGTAACACCGACCCCTCCTCCGTTATCAGTAGTTGTACTACAAAGGTCAAACTGTTCTTGTCTATTGTTGAAGGCTATTATGGCATTTTTTTTTTTTTTTTTTTTTTTTTTTTAAGGGAGAGGAGGGAAAATGCTTTTACGCACACAGGTAGCCAGCCTGTAGTGTGAGACTCCTGAATCTATCGCAGACTACTCACTAAAAAACCCCCTCTACTCTGTTGGACACAGACCTGGAATTGTTTGTCACATTACTTCAAGTCAGGCCAACATGTTACCTAAGCCCTCAGGGCTCTCACCGTTTATGGCATTTGGATACTTTAAGACCTACACCGCATCCCGGTCAAGGTCGAGCTTCTTGGCGCGGAGAATACCCTGGATGTAATGTGACACACAGGTCCAATTGTCCTCACCCTCCGTCATCATCGGTATGACCGTGTCCACCGACAGCAGTCCTACTAACTGTTGAGCCTCCAGGCGGGGCCTTTCCCAACGCTGGCAGTGGAAAAATGTATGTTCCGCGTCATCGGGAATGCCTGGGCAGTATATGCAATCGGGTGACACGGCTTTGCCCATCCTGAACAGGTACGACCGGAAAAAGCCGTGACCCGTCAGAAATTGGGTGAGGTAGAAGTCCACCTCTCCGCACCGCCGATTAACCCAAGGTTGGACTTGCTTTATCAGTCGCCTGGTCCAGCGTCCCCGAGTCTCCTGTTCCCAGCTCTCTTGCCACAGCTGGTAGGTGCGGGTGCGTTCCTCTGTTCGTGCCTGGTCCTCCCCACGGCGCTGATAAATTGCTTTTCTCTCCGCCGCCAAAAGTTTGACGGGGATGACTCCAGCAACCACCAGGACGGCGGGTTCGGACACTGTTCGGTAGGCGGATGCAACTCTTAGTGCTGCCTGACGCTGCACTCGGGCAAGCCGCATCCTATATACCTCCTTATTTAGAGCGTCTGCCCACACCTCAGCACCGTACAAGAGTACGGACTGGACAGAAGACATTAACAGCCTTCTACGGCTGGACCGAGGCCCTCCGACATTGGCCATCAACCGGCTAAGAGAGGAGACCACCCTAGCGGCCTTGTCCGCCGTACGGAAAATCTGATCCCGCCAGCTAAGCTTGCTGTCCACCATAATCCCAAGGTACTTGGCAGAACGAACGGTCTGGACTTCAACGGCCCCTACCCTCAACAGCACGATGGTGTCAATCCGTTTTTTTGTTAATATCACGATCTCAGTTTTGCTCAAAGCAAGCGAGAGACCGTGGTCTGTCATCCATGCGTTTATAGTACGCATAACTCGGTTCAGCTTTAGCTGAGCCAGCTCAACGCTACGTGCAGCTATCAAAACTGCAACGTCGTCCGCGTACCCAACCAAAACAGTTTCCTCAGGCATTTCAGACCTCAGGAGGCTGTCATACGCGACATTCCAGAGGTCCGGGCCGAGTATGGAACCTTGGGCAGCACCGGAAGTGACACTCATCGTCCGTGGGCCCTCTGTAGTGTCATACAAGAGGAGGCGGAACCGGAGATAATCCTCTATGATACGCATGAGGTATGCCGGGACGTGAAAGGTGTTCTCCAGAGCATCCAGCATATCGCACCACCTCGCCGAATTAAATGCGTTTCGCACATCGAGAGTGACGAGCAGCACAACCCTTCGAGAGTAGTGGTTAAAATCCTCAGCTCTCATCACGGCTTGCTTCACCTCTTCAACAGCGTCAACCGTAGATCGCCCCATCCTAAATCCATACTGCCGAGGGGACAGGTCCCCCGCAGCGACTACGGCTGAATTCAGTCGGGAACGTATCAACTTCTCGAGGACTTTTCCAGCCGTATCCAACATACACAGAGGTCTGTAAGAGGATGGCAGGTCTGGATCTCCCTTCCCCTTCCCAACAAGCACAAGCCTAGCTGTTTTCCAGCACGAAGGGAAAACTCCTTCGACTAGGCAGGCATTGTACGTAAAAGGATCAAGGGGTTAATAGTCAAAACCTTTTTGAGAACTTCGCCGGGTACCCCATCGGGTCCAGGAGCCTTATTGTTCTTCAGGGATAGGACGGCCGCCTCCACCTCTCCAAGACTGAAAAGTGGTACGTCATCCACCCTTCCGAAATCCCGCAGTGGGCGCAACGTGTGAGCCGGGAAAAGGGACTCGACTATCCTCTCCATAGTGGCCCCATCCATGACGGAAGGTGGAGAGCGGGTGCCAAGTTTCTTGGTTACCAGTTTGTAACCCAAGCCCCACGGATTGGAATCGATATCGTCCCTTAATGTCTCCCAGCAACTACGTTTACTCCGGTTGATGGCTCGACGAAGAGACCTCCTAGCCACTCTGTAAGCATCCGACTTACGACGTCTGTCTACAGGTTCTCTGGCCCTGGTAGCAAGTCTTCTGGCTCTCAATGCTGACCGACGCAATTCCGCAATCTCGGCAGTCCACCAGTACACAGGTCGCTTATTGCACCGGGATCTTCCGCGAGGCATAGACTCATCGCAAGCGGAGACGATTAGTCCCATCATGGATGTAACTAACACCTCTGCATGAGCCACACTAGTTGCGGGGGGAACCACCGGTGTTCCTCGTAAGATGGCTTCATTGAATTTTGCCACGTCCAATTTTTTAATATTCCATCGAACGGGCACTTGACGAAACGCGGCTACTTGTCTCTGATGACCATCCAGGACATCAAAAATAATGTACTGGTGGTCACTGCCCGTGTAATCCTCCAGAACTCTCCAGGCTCTGATCCTTGGCAAAAGGGACTCAGATGCAAGGGTTATGTCTGGGATCGTTCCCCGCATCCCAGGGCGCCGGAAAGTTGGCGTGTTTCCCTCGTTGACGACAACGAGTCCGGCTCTGGCAGCAAAGTCCAGAATGTACTTGCCCCGGGAATTGGTGAGGGTCATTCCCCACTCGACAGCCCTAGCATTAAAATCCCCACCCACGACGACGTGTCCTGTGGTATTGCGCACGCTCTCTTCCAGGCGGTCTATCTTCTCACGAAATTCACGGATGGCCTCGTTGGGAGTGAGGTAGACACTAAAGTAAGTGACATCCCGGCACCGAACCCAAACGAAACCTCGGCCCTTCGCGTGACCCCGTACTTGTACTTTCGCTGCATTACGCGCCCAGAATGCTACAGTACCAAGACTATCAGGGAACCAAAAAGATGGGTCCCTATCACGGTACTGGTACTGTTCGCTGACTAAGAGCGCGTCGACATCGTGTTCTAGGGCAAGCTGACATAGAAGTGCGTCAGCCGACCTGGATCGCTCAAGATTGCACTGAAGGATTCTTATCTTCGTGAAAGGACTTTCGCTTGCTGTAGTGCAGATTTGAATACACTACACTGTCCAGACCCAGCTATATGCTTCAAGTGTTTGTCAGCGAGCCCATTTTCTTTGCAAAGGAAACAGGACTCGACTTGGCAGTCCTTACGGACGTGACCGACCTCCCCGCACCGAAGGCAGTTCTTGCTTCGGTCGGGTCCCTTGCAGTTTCGGGAGGAATGGCCGAAACAGAGGCATTTAAAACACCTCTTCACTTCCACTCTCCGTCTGAGCCTGCAGTTGACCCAGCCGACTCTCAGATGCTGGAGTCCCAGCACTTTCGTGGCATGTGCGTCTGCCATTTCGGCGACCGCCATCCGCTGCTGACTCCTGTTCGGTTTTGTGAGCCACACCTTAAATAAAGCCGTTTGCCCGGAAAGCTCGGGGACAGCTTTCTTCAGGGCCTCAACAACATCAACCTCCGTCGACACACAATCAATGTCTCGAACCTCGACTGATGTCTTTGGTTCAAGAGCACGGACGGTGCCCTGGCCTTCAACAGCTGCCTTCAGTTCGGCAGTAAAGGCTGCTTTGTCTTTCGACTTACCCAGTTCAAGGAGAACGTCCCCGTCCCGGGTTCGTCTAATCGACCGTACAACCGTATCGGTCTGCTCTGGCTTAGCCTTGGCCTTAATTGCACCCAAGACCTCGGCGAAAGATCTCCCCCCTGAGGGCTTGACCAGGATTGCCTCCGTCCTGGGCTTTTTTGGCCGGGACTTTTTCGGAGCAGAGACCGAGCCGGGCCCAGTTTGGGCCACGCCGGTCGGCTGTGCCTTCACTGCCACATTCTTTATAGAGGCGACCTCCGCCCGCCTCAACTGCCTCTTCTCCTTTCGGGAACGACGTTTTTCCCACGCAGCCCCAGGTGTCTCTACGACTGACCCCTTTCGGGAACTTCCCTGAAGGGGGGTCGTAGGTAGCTGTGGTTGTTGGCTCTTTGCAGGAGCTGCAGCTATGTCCGAAAAGGATCTGGGCACAGCAGACAATAGATCAGTCTGAGTTGCCTTGGCCTTTACCGTGGTCCTTTTGGTTTGGACGCCTTCTTCTCTTTTTTGAGGACTGTCCGATGTGGAAGGCCTTTTACGTTTCTTGGAAGGCAGTGTTCTTTCGTCAGACAGAGACACAACCTTCTCGGCAATCTTCTCCATGGCTGCCTTACTCACCACCCGGCAGGCAAAAACGAAGCCAAGGTCATCCTCCAGTTTGGCCATGCCGTTTTTGACCACTTGATTTACGGCTTTCTGGGTCCGGAAGGTGTCCAGCATAGCCTTGATCGTAGCTTCCATGTCTTGGAGCCGGGTTTCAATGTCACTCTCTGCGTCAAGATATTCCTGACGCAGAAGCACCATCTCAGAGCCTTCCGACCTCAGCGGTGCTTTGAATGGCTCCTCCGGCATCCCTACAGCAGAACTGGCAGAGTGGGGGAGAGTTGCTGGCAACACCAGCTCGACACCTACATCTCCGACGCTTTCCGCACCGTTCCCAGCTCCACTTTCCGAAGGAGCTCCTAAATGGGGGAACTCCTTGGTGCATTTGAAGGTGGCAGGTGGGGGAGATGTCCTCACGTTTTTCGGTGGTGGCGACCGCTGCACCTTGGAGCTACGGACAAAAGCGTTCCGCTTCACTTCCAACGTCTTTTCTGGCTCATTTGAGCTCTTAATCAAAAATGTGTTATGAGGGGTTTTATTTAAATCCATCGTGTTTATTACAGCGCATCGTGCGGCAAGGAGCGGCCCGGAATCAGTCAGGAACGGGTATACCCTCGGGGACAAAGACCCCTACCCCAGTTCCCCGGGGCCTGACCTCCGTTTGCCCAGCACCGGATACCTGACGTGCCGGGGGTCGCCCGTCACAATGCAGAGCCCGACCTCTACATCCATGCCGCACTCCCTGACCAAGGACCGAAGTGGCTGGCTTCTCACGACCCACTAAGAATACCCATCGGCAGTGCAGAGCACACATCAACCCCTGCAACACAACAGGGGCACTCCCAGGGACTCCCAGTGAGTTCGTCGGTCACCCTTTTAGTCGCCTCTTACGACAAGCCCGAGAAGGCTGCGGTGCTATTCTAACCCGGTACCGCACGGGATATTATGGCATTGGAGATATAGTGTGATTTGAAATTTAACTGGTCATTTAAAATATGGTTTTTATTGTGGCTGTCTTGGAAGCTTTTTTAAATTTCAAACTGTTCTAGAGAATCCAATTTATTTCATTTATTACAAACATGGAGAATTTCCAGGCTATTGTCAATTGTATCTATGGTGTGATTTTTATCTAATAAATGCTGGGCGAAAGTGGATTTTTGTTTGTCTGCTCTGGTGTCGGGGCGATGTTCCTTGTGTCGTTGAGTAAAGGATCTGCCTGTTTGTCCAATATAAAAATCCGGACAATCCATACACTTCAATTTATAAACTCCAGACTTGTCTAACTTGTTTTCAACAACATTTTTTTGTGTTAAAGCTTATTTGGATTTATTGGTAGTTCTAAATGTTAATTGAAGCCTGTGTTTCCTTAAAACTTAAAACTTAACTGAATAGGCGAAACATGTTGTGAGTTCTACTTACGACAATTGAACTGTTGATGTAAAGGTATGTACCTCATATTAGTCTAATTAAACAGTTCAGGGGCTACATCATGAATTTTAACCACCTAAACCTCATGATATGAGGTTAACCTAAGGAATTGTGCAACAATAAACAATCTCTGCTTGTAAGCCAATACCTTGTTGTAAGCCATTGTTAATATTTCCAGCTGGAAAGCCTGAGGGGTCTCACTTGCGACATGCAAGGAACGATCTAGGCTGTCAGCCAGGAAACTGTCAGATGTGACACGCAGTACAGTGGACACTAGAGGTCTGACTGCGCCAGCCGCGCCGTGCTGTTCTGCGCCTCGTACTAGCTCCATCACCAGAGACGGTGGTACTATAGGTCGTGCTCCGTCATGAACCACCACAACATTCACTTCATCTGAGAACAAACATTGTCAAGTGTTCCCTGATTATGCATTTTGGGTGAAGAAACCCTTAACTTCTTACCTAGGAGGGGAATACAAATGTTTCAAAATTTGAACCTAAACAGACTGGTCAAAAAAGGAACAGATATTATTTACAAAAGATAAATTGTGTCAAATACAAAAACATCATTAGTTATTTTAATAATAACTATTATTAAAAACCATGCCACCTTTACAGTTGGTGTCACAGGAAACTCTCATCTTTACAATTTCATTCTGAGGTCCTTCCAGTAAATATTAGTGATTATTGTACAGGGAGCGGCAAAATGATCTGACGGTTTTCTTTGCCTCCCTGTCGAGCGAGAGAGTGGTGGAGGGTGGTGGGAATAGGGGCGTTACAAAGCCAACGTGCGGACATTTTTAGTAACCATGGAGGACGGCAAAGCACCTTTTATTTGTAGTGGAAGTGTTTTTAAAAGTAGCAATTCCTGTGTACCTGTTCAGCAGACGATACAATGTGGGACAAGGAAGAAAAGTCCCAACTCGAAACATAATTTTTCTGTGGGTGGGTAACTTTAGAACTACCGGTACTAGTTCAGCTTTGAAACTAAAATCAACAGGCCATCCAGGGTCAGCCCGGACGCCAGAGAACGTCAAGAGAGTGAGGAAGACTGTGTAGTGTAGTTGAAAGTGCGATTCGTCGCTCATAATGACAATTTGGCATGTGTAAGCAAACCGACCACTTGTTCTGAAAATGAGATGTGCCTTGCATAACCACTGGGCTTCAACTGTTGCATGATTGCCATTTTGTATGCATGAAAGTGCAGGTCGTATCGTAATACTCTTCCACCAAGTGGCCAGATATGTGCAGGCATCTTCTCTCCACTCTGTCGACGTTCACTGGTGTCCGGGCTGATCTTGGCCTCTTGACTTTTTTCAATGCTGAACTAGTAGTTCTGAAGTTACCCACCCACAGAAAAATGGCATTTCGAGTTAGGAATATTCACCTTGGATCCACATTGAAACATATACGGAACTGCTACTGAACAGCTACACAGTAAGTGCCACTTTAAATAAACACTTCCACAAATGCACGGTGCTCTGCCATCCACAGCTGCATGGCTACTAAAAATGTCCGCACATTGCCTTTGGAACGCCCCTATTTCCACCACCCTCCGCCACTCACTCGCTCGACAGGGCGGCAAAGAATACTGTCACATTATTTTGCCGCTCCCTGTATTTAAATTAAGTGCATTACAGTGCTTTGTTTTATGATTTGTTACTTTTTAGTAGGCCTAGCTAACATAATGTAATAGAGGTAGGCCTACATAAGGTTATCGGGTCTTTCAGATTCAGCTGTGCCATAGCCACCTTTAACACCAGGCTGCGGCCTTCGAAGTGGCAATACTGTCAGTAATACTGTTACGGCTGTTTTGTTTGGTGGATGCTAATTCGTATATGTGTGTTTTGCTTGGTTACTGGGCTATGAAAATATTGACTCCATTTTTAATGTATGGAAATAAATTTTGAATTTATATTGTTTATCTTTTAATGAATTTATATTCATAAATTCAAATCAATAATACGCTATTAAATGAGCGGGTGTCACCTGTTTGTCATGTTAGCTTATGGGACGTCTAGCTCAGCGACCACAGAATAAAATAGAGAGGCGACCTAGGCCGGCCAGTGAAGCTACCTGTGAGCGCTTGTCCCAACTGTCATGGCGGCCACGCAGTGTGGGTCACACTACTGGTGAGCGTCAGTGGGGCAGGTTTTAAGCGAATCTGTAGCAGACTCTTAAGATTACCTTTGAGAAAAGAATGTGGAAGGCTTCGAAGGATGTTCAGCAACAATAACCTTTCTGCGGCGATTCGACAAACTTTTTGACATTCTTAATTCCAGGAAATTTGACGAAAAAGCTTTGTGTCCATGGAACTTCAAAGACAACTTAACCTTCTTAGAAGATACCAAAATTGTACATTTCAGAATTGAAATACAATCTAGGATTGAGGATATTAAAGTCAAAAGAAAAACTGGTTTCATTGGCTTCATTGTATGAATAGAAAGTGTGATGGCCATGTATAAACAGTTTGTGGGAGGTGAAAACTTCCCTTTGAAGTATTTACCCTTGTACATGGTTAGTCAAGATCATCTTAAAAGAGTGTTTGGCTACTTTCGGAGCCGTGGAGGTCATAATAATAATCCCACCACGTGCAAGGAGTTTACAGGTTCAATTAAAAGAATACTGCTACACAAGGAACTGGATAAGTGTATAAATATATTTGTACTCCTTAACAGTCGAGGAGTACAAGAAGACTTAATTATTGACTTTCCTTTTTAAAGCATAAACATAGTATTACTTGATTGGTTACTTGATGTTTTCGGTTATCAGAAACTCTCTTGGTCCCATGAGGGCTGGAATTCAAGAATCAATTGTACTATCTAAATAGGCTACTATATCATTGTATCATGCTTTATGTAGCCTTACTTTTAATTAAAACCCGAGCTACATTAATTAATACAGTCTGTCGGATAATTATGTGACATCTTCCTGAGAGTAGGATAACTGGAGAGGACCAAAGCAGACCATACAACCAGGAGGGAGATATGGACAAGGCAGGAGGGAGATATGATTCCTGAACCAGCTGACTACTTTAGTTGCATACATTTATTGGTTGAGAAAATGTGTGCTCAGTGGGTGGCTGAGATTCTGATGGATGTCCATAAGGGGAAACGCATGGGAGAAGCCATTGAATTTTTTACTCAATATAGTAGAACACCAACTATCCGAACTCTAACCAACCGAATCGCCGATTATCCTAATTGCTTCAGAACTAAGAATCCTACTGTGAAGCTCTTCAACAGCTTTGACTGGCCATCCAAACAAGAATATGTTGGTTATACAGTATTTTATTCTCAACAATGCCCAGTCTCAGGCTTGAGTATGGATGCAGCAGGAACTTCAATGTGTATGAAGTGGGAAATCTTTGGTCATCTTCCCTACAGCCTATTGTTTCCAAAATTAAAAAAATTTTGGGTAGAAAACAGTTCGAAAATATTAAGGAACTTAAAGAAGCAGTAACAACATGGCTCAAATGTCTTGCGGCTGATGAGTATAACATCGGAGTAGAGAACCACGTTGCAACAATTGTCTCGACAACTATGGTGATTGGTAGAAAAGTTTAATAAGGTAGTGTGTCGTCTTTGCAAAGAAAGTTTGGGTCATTATCTTTTTTTTATTATTTAATCTAGCCAAAACGTTCTTTACTTTTTGGACAACCCATGTAGCCTACATAAATGCATAAACAACTAATCACTAACCAGAGAACTGTTTTTGTAACTCCAGAACACCAGCTTTAATTGAACGGTGGCGAGTTTCTCTTCCTTTGACTAATACAATTCTAGAGGAAGTTTCATAACCAAACTCTTGCAACATTGCTTGAACCTGTAAAATATACTTAAAATCAATGGTACTTATTAGTTATGACTGTAAAATAGAGATTGCAAAAGTAACTGTCTATTTTTTATATAAAATTTATTTTATCTTCTTTCACAAGTTTTATCATCTTTGTCAAATGTAAAAATGTGTCCTCCAATCGGGATCTAATTCAGATCGGGACATAAGTTTGTCAGGGTTCCCGTGAAACACCCTGTATATGTGTGTATATGTTTGCGTAAACTAGATAACTCAAGTAATTTTGGTCCGATTTTAAAGAAATTAGGCATGAATGAGGGAGCTGGATATACTTGATTGAGTATACTTTATTGAACCAGCAAGATCGGGTCATTAAATACACTCATAGCTCTGGTCAAAGCCCCTGAATACCCTAATCTCCAGGGGAGAACAGGGTATTATGATGCTTTAAAATCTTTCAAAAATTTGTTTTTTTCAAATTTTTGCTCTAAAACATGAAAATGTCCTGTTTTTATTGCAACCATTGTAGCTTGAAAAAACTATTTTGTAAATTGAAGAATTGTTGTACAATTAGAAATAAAAAAAATACTGTAAATTTGAAATTACCATGTTATTCATATAGAGAAAATTTAAAATTGTTGCATTTTGCTTGTTTATGGATATACAGAGTGTCCCGTAAGTAAGTAGGCTACAAAGAATATAAAGTAGAGGTTTATTGGGTCAAGATAAAACGAAAATCAGGAATACAATTTTTTCCAAAAATGTCTCCTTAACAAGACATCTGCCATTTGTTTTTTTGGGTTCTAAATTTATTTCTCGAAAACTATTTAAAATATCTTTATGAAACTTTGTGATACAATTGTGTCAAGTAATAATGTATTTACAAAATTTAGATCTTACATAGCCTAAATCTTGCTTCATTATTTACGTAAATCTAACTTTAAATCTAAATGTAAGACATCTGCCATTTGTTTTTTTTGGGTTCTAAATTTATTTCTCGAAAACTATTTAAAATATCTTTATGAAACTTTGTGATACAATTGTGTCAAGTAATAATGTATTTACAAAATTTAGATCTTACATAGCCTAAATCTTGCTTCATTATTTACGTAAATCTAACTTTAAATCTAAATGTAGGACCTAATGTGCACGGTATACCTGTCTGTATAACGTTTATCTTGTGAAATAAACTTCTATTTGAATTGTATTGAAAAATCAATGTTAGGAATCTATCCAAAATCTCGGTCAAAGAATAAGAAGACTAGGATCCGAGTAGGGCCTAAGTATCCAAGTGTGTCTATGCTGGTTGTCAGAGAATATGTTGGTATTTTAGGCTTAAGAACTTAATATTTTTATTTACTTACCACTTACCTTTTCCATACTATCTACCACCAATATTATTTTATTGATCCATGTTATATCCAGGAATGCTTCAAGTGAGTACATAAGAAGCGGTTTATCCTGAAAAACAGCGAACAACAATTAATACCGTACACATCCTGTTCTTGCAATAACATAGCTATTGTTTCATTGTTTGTTACTTTAAAAAACTCATATATAAATTAAATTCACAACAATTGCTATCTATAGTTTACTCAGGCTTAGGCTTAGTAGTCAGGTTGGGTAGCAGGAAAATATTTTAGTTCTGGCGGAGAGGCTGCAATTTTAGGTGGTTATAGTATACAAGTTTCTGAACCTAAAACCGCCCAGACCCCAATATAACCGATATTCATGAAATTTGGCACACAAGTGCTTGAATACATTATCTCGGCCTGGGTTGAAAATGGTCAAGTTTCATCAAGTCATTTCAAAATGGCGGCTGTTCAAAACTAAAAAAATATGAGGAAAATAATTGTGAATTCTTTTATACAGGGTGAGTTTTAAATGAGTTCCCCCCCCCCTACTTTTTTATACATTTCTTAAGATATCAACTTTGAACCATGTCAGATCATTGTAGAGTAGCAAGTACTTCATTTTGACTGGGTTTAAATTTTTGGCCGCCATCTTGGATCCGCCATTTTGGATACAAAGTTATTTTTCCAAATGTAAAGGTAGGGTTGTGACCCACCGTTTCAAACAAGACCTTTACGCTGAATACAATGCTGTAATCCGTTTAAAAAAAATTTGATCCATTCTAAAGTTATGAGAACTTTTTATAACTTTATTTTTAGTCCATTGTAACATTGTGCATTTACAAACTAAGGCCATAATCTCAAAATAGTGCTAGATAAATATAAGTGGACACCACCATTCATTGTTGACCTATTTTCACTCGGTTATGACAGATGTATTTTTTTCAGCCGCCATCTTGGATCCGCCATTTTGAAATGTGATAAATTATTTTAAATATGAAGGTGGTGTTGTGACCCATCATTTTGAACTACTTTTTTATGTTGAATTCAATGCCGCAATCCGTTTTTCATTGTCATATTTGGTTTTTGAAATATTGACATTTTAAATCAAAATAATTGTTATATTTCATCAAGAAAGCTTGATAACAAAAAACGGATAAAATAAAACCCAGTCAAAATGAAGTACTCGCTACTCTACAATTATCTGACGTGGTTCGGAGTTGATATCTTAAGAAATGTATAAAAAAGTAGGGGGGAACTCATTTAAAACTCGCCCTGTATAAAACAATTCACAATTATTTTCCTCATATTTTTTTTAGTTTTGAACAGCCGCCATTTTGAAATGACTTGATGAAACTTGACCATTTTCAACCCAGGCCAAGATAATGTATTCAAGCACTTGTGTGCCAAATTTCATGAAAATCGGTTCAGGCATTCGGTCATTATAGCCAATTCATGGGGACCCAGCATCCTCTTACGGCCGCCATTTTGATGACGTCATTACGGACGACTGAGGTCCTAAAACATTGGGGTCTGGGCGGTTTTAGGTTCAGAAACTTGTATACTATAACCACCTAAAATTGCAGCCTCTCCGCCAGAACTAAAATATTCTGCCATTACATGCAGCTATACGACCCCACTATAGATGATATTAAAAACTTTACTTTAGGTTTAACTTTATTATTGTGAGCTTTGCATTGAAAGTTTGCCTTCAAAAAAGAATGTTGAAGAAATGAAAATATTACAACTGATAAAAAGTCTTACACGAGAACGCAGTATGAAAACGAAAGAAGAATAAAAACCTACAGTAAATTAGGCAACCGGTACCTTTAAAAAGGGAACTGTCCGAACCCTGGTCTTGTTACTACCTTTGGTTGTGGTTGTTTGTGTGGTTCAATAAACTTACAATCAAATGAGTAAGAGAAAAGTATTATTAATGAAGAGTTACAAGTTGTGTACATTCCTCTAAAAACCCAATAGCAAGAATAAACTTAATGATTGCTAAGACGACATCAGCTGATTCTACACCAGCCCCCCACGGAGAAAAAAATCTATACATTCTGAAAAGTAACCTGTGGTCGGATTTGTCTGAGTTTGATAGGGCTTCACAGGTGGAGTTTGACAAGGTGGTAGGTTTGAGGATTCCTCCACTCTAATTCCAGGTGGCACTAAACGTTTCATAGGCTTAGGAATACGATTTTATCCACGACAATAATAGGCCGGCTTGACCATGTCCAAGGCACTTTAGTTTCTTGGCCTCTGATGATTGTGATTGCCTTGTCATCACGGCATATGACATTGTAGGGACCAGAATATGGGGCCTGTAATGATTTTCTTAAGCTGTCTTGTAGGAGGAAGACAAAATCACAAGTGCTGAGGTTTTTGAAAAAAAAAATCCTGGTTTAATGTGACGTGATGCGGGTGTAGGTCTTAGGAAATTCATATGCTTATGCAGCCTGGACACCAATCCTTGCGGCTCGTTGTTCTGGTGTGAAGGTAAGTACTAAGACGAAAAACTCTCCCGGAAGACACAGTGATTCTACGTACACCATATCAGCCGATGAAGCATCTAGATGTCCTTCTTGAAGGCAGATCTTATTCCGAGAAGGACTACAGGCAGTACCTTAGTCCAGTTTGATTTGCTGTGTGCCATTATAGCAGCATTCAACTGGCGATGGAGTCTTTCAATCATGCCGTTGGCGAGTGGATGCCAACTGGTGGTGAACTGGAGCTTTATTCCCAACTGTCACGCTAGGTCTTTTAACAAAGTCGATGTGAACTGGGGTCCGCAATCACATGTCAACTTTTGTGAGCATCCAAATCGAGCTATCCAAGTAGAGACAAACGCTTGAGTAACAGATTCGGCAGTTATTTGATCAATAGGACAAACTTCAGGCCAGCGAGTAAATCTATCTATGAGAGTTAGACAGTAACTTCAAGACTTTGATAAGGGAAGTGGGCCAACTATGTCAATGTGGACATGAGAGAAACCTTCTGTAGGTGTTTGAAAATGGCTTTAACATGAGACAAAGCATCAGCAACTATATTTTGTGAGCCACTGATGTGCTTTACGTCCGTTGAAAACTCAGAAATAAACTAAGGTTGACGTAACTGAGCTGGAGGCAACTTGTCACGGCGCTGTTGAAAGGCCCAAATAAGTGGTTTTTGATCTGTGAATATAGTGAAAGAAGTTGTTTCCAAGAGATGGCGGAAATGCTGCACAGCTTTGTAAATAGCAAGGAGTTCTCCGTAGTATTCAGGCCATATGAACTGCTTGGGTGAATCAAAGAAGTTTCTTGGAGAAAAACCCTAAAGGTTGCCAAGCGTCATCAACAGACTGTTGGAGGCAAGCACCTACACTTACAGTACTCCAGAGGCGTCAGTAAAGAGACCAAGAGGAGCATCAGGTTTAGGATGCAGACGTTGCTCTTCGGATGCAGAGAGGCGTTCAATCAGTTTCTTCTTTAGATATCCGTATTTGTCACCTTGAGGAGGGTTTGTTATGATGTCTTCGACCTCAGCAGCAATTCCTGTGTCCAATTGCGAACGTAGTAAGACTTGGTGTTGTCGTTAGTTATTCCAGATATAATAAATTGTGAGTCAACTTAGCAGAACAACGGACTTGGTCTTTCAGGCCAAAAGAGCAGTAGTTTGTCAGCTACTCTGTTGACCAACATGTTTTGTGAAGTTCTGGGTTTGTCTGATCCGTTGATGCAGTTCCTCATTCACAGTTCTATGTTCCGGCGAGTTGAGTCTGCAGGTCTTCTAATGACATCGTTGTTAGAGGAAATACAAACGGTTAAAACTCTTCAAAGAAAATAACAGTCGTAGTCGGGGTCACCAGTTTGATCGTGGTTGTTTCATATTCAAAAACACCTACGACCAATTAAGTAAGAGAGAGAAATTATTCATTAGAAGAGTTACAAAGTGTATATTCCTCTAGATTAAAAATAACCAGAATAATAATAATGCGTTTCTAAAGCCGCGTTTAGACCAGAGTTTGAAACTCGAGTTGCAAACAGAAATTGCAAAAATCTCTAAAAACGTGCATTTTCAGACAAAACATCTCGCTGTTGCAAACAGTTTTTCAGTGTTTGCAAAGGAAATTTTAGTTTCCACCTGAAGTCGGTAAAGATCAAAGGGAGTTGCAAACTTTTGTTTGCAAACACAGGTTTCGGTCACTACGTGTCGTTGAAACTCGAAACAGAAACATTTCCTCGCCACCCCCTACGCTGCTACCTCCACTCTCACTTAGGCCTACTTGATCACTCGCACCACCCTGTGTCTCGACTCAAGTGTCATTACGCTGTCTGGAATGCTAGTAGTTCTCTCATGCGTGTTGTGAGTGACCAGTGATGAGTGACACTGGAAAATTAACCAAATAAGATGGAGTGGGTAGATGACAACATTCTAAAGTTAATTAGCTTGTACAGAGAGCAGCAAGACCTGTTGAACCAAACTATTTCTGATTACAAAATAAAAACATGAAAAACTACGTATGGACATTTCATTCAAAATTACATCCTCGACACTTGACATCCTCGACACTTGACATCCTCGGAAGGACTAATCCCAGAAACCAGAACATAGGCAAGTCATATAATTAAGGTCAAAAGTGTTTCAAACATTTTTATAAGTTAAAACCATGAAATAAAAATTGCTAACTTTTATTGGAAAATACTGTTTGCAAAAAAAGTTTGCAACTCTTTGTTTGAAACTTCAGTGTAAACACGGCTTAAGACAACATCAGCTGACGCTAGGCCTACATACCTAACGTCGACCTTTTTGTTACATAATTTAGCATCATTAATTAGTAGGTAGCCCAATGACAAATGGCATATGGGTCTCGAAACGATCTTGCATGGATTCGAACGAGGTATTTGATTAATACAACTTCAATTCAAATTACAAATAAGCACATACCGGTAACAGAAATCAATGCTCTGAGATTTCAGACTCTGAAAGTCTTGAAAAATAAACACCGAAACTAAAAACGTACCTGTGAGAATTTAATCTAAATAAGCTACCATTTAACAATTTACACTCATCAAAACGTTCATCTTTAGTAATATGAGTAGGTGAGAATGCCTAGTCTACAATCTCAAAAAAGTTAAGTGTGTAATGTTTTTAATTAATGTATGCATAATGCAGCATATACTAGGCTAAGGTAGGCCTAGCCTACATCATATTAGTTGAAGAATGCTAAGTTAATGCTTGATAAATGTGAACTTTTTAAACCAAGAATCCATAAGGATTTTAGGATAGGCTAATCATAGGCCTACATTATTCGATAGGCCTAAGCCTACCTACTAGGTAGCCTACTTGACTTCTTGACTCTAGATGTCATGTTGTAAGGTAGGCTATGAAATAGTTTATTAAAACTTCCATCTAGTTTGAATTGCGATACATTATAAATAATACATTCATACTTTTAATAATATTGCCGTAAAAATGTGGAAGACTTACTAAAATTTTGCGATACTGTTTTGACACTGGGCCCCCTAGCCTAGTTCCACGTCCTGCAGCAGGAATAACAACTCCGACCTTTAAATCACTCATTTCAAATTATACTTGCAGCACAAATCAAGTAATTTTACAAACTAATGATCATATGAGCCCACTTATACACGCAAAATACTTCGGCCGATTTACTACTTAGGCAGAAGACAAATCACAACATTGATCAGGTTGAACGTTTGACATTTCAAACTTCGCAGCTAACCGCAATCGTCGACCTTAGTCGCAAACGCAAACCGTCACCGAATGAGAATGATTTATCGTTATCGTATCGTATCAAAATCGCACAGAGTATGGACTTTTGCAAGACACACGACTATAATTTACTGTATATTATACACTGAAAATTAAAAACTCCTAGCATCAATACCGGTATCTCCAAGTAAACTAATAAAATAATACAATACGGTACGGGTAATTATTTATTGCGAGTGCTCATATTTCCGAGTAACATCATCAGGACCAAGTGATCAATAAACCGAGTGATGACAACATATTTGATTTTACATCTCCCCAATATAGTAGTTTACGCAACGATTGCGTTAAGTGAGTCTTTACGACACGAGTAGAAAATTTAAGGCACGAGCCTTGGCGAGTGCCTTAAAAAAACTTCTACGAGTGTCGTAAAGACTATTAACGCGAGTTGCGTACACTACTTTACCTACGACCGTTTTTTAATCACTAACAATCTGGATTTAATTACTAACAATCACTACTGATAACTTTTTAGAGAGGTTATGTTTTCGTGTATTGTCATTGCCACTGAAAGTGATGCAACGACTTGTATAATCAGCTGATTTCCTGTAATTACGTGTTTGTTAAACTTTGTTTAATATTACATTGCTAGCAGCATTCTTACCATAAATAATATTGTATCAGGTACAATTCGGCAAATATTTCATTTATTTTTGGACTTCCACCAACTTAATTAAGAATTAAGAATACGCGAGTATCAACATGAACAAGTCGGATCAACAATTTAAATTGGTCAACTGATCAGCTGATCAGCTGATTAGTTGACGTTCGAAACATTACAATTTTAATTATTTTCTCTCAATACTTGAACCTCATTGGTCCGTTACCTGTGTGGATATGAGAAAACTATGCGGATATGAAATAAAACTATGCGGATATGAAAGTAAACAGCTGTAAAGTGAAACTTTTCAATTCTAAGAACTGGACTGAAATGGCTACTTTAAAAAACGGTCGTAGGTAAAATATATTTCCGAATATTGTAACTATGATCAATTACATAACATGATAGACACATTACACACAAGGCGGAAAAGCAGTGAGTGGCTGATGGATAAATATAGCCCCGTGCACATGGCAGGATGCTCCGAGATCCAGCACGGCCACCGCTTTAACCCCAGAGGCCGCGGTCTGGTAGAATTGGAAACGTCGCAAGTAATGCTGTTTAGCAGCGCCAGACGTATATCTAGTGCGGCCTTGGCCATACGCTAACACGGCAGACGGGCGACACCCATTCATTTAATATGAATATAAATTTATAAAAAGATTGGAAATAAAACACGGTGTTCTAAACGAAAAACATATACAGGGGTGCCCACAAGGGGGGGCTGTGACGCAGACTGCGTCATTGAAATTCTTGGGGGGGGGGCTCAAAAAATGCAAATGGGGGGGGGGGCTAAAGTTAATTGCAACAGTGTTCAACGTGACGACAATCAAAAATATATTACGAAGTCGCCAGATAGAAAGTCGATTAATTAATGACAATAGTTATATTATTGAATTCAATTAGTTAAAATAGGATTTTAGGATAGTTTAGGATTCGTGTAGGAAGTTATTATTCAAGATTAGCAAGACGTAAGATCTAAGAGGGAGGGCACGGAATGGCTCAACCGCTGTGATAGATAAAAGATAACGCGTGGTACAGACACGTCCAGCTACACCGCGACTTAGCACAGAACGCTTTGTTGACATAAACTCGTTAAAATACAATTAAGTAGCATAGGCTACAACACTTTACACTATTGTGTAGATACTCGATAACCTGAGTTAATAGGGAACGGGGGGGGGGGGGGGGGTAATGAAAATACGGTTAATCCAATATAGTATAAAAGCAGATGACAACCCCATTAAAACGCTGTTAACAGCCATTAACGTCACGATTTGCATTTTTATAAACGAAATTCAATATTGCACAATCATTACTATTGTGCAATAACATTATTATTGTACATTTCAAATCATTTATCTTGGTTCAGTTGTACAAACGGCATCGTTTAAAATTATAACTCAAACACAATTAATAACATAATTAATATTTTGTAAATGGTGTATCCGTTGATATGAATAAATAAATAAATAAAAAACCAGCCAACACACTGCATTGCTATAAATAACGTAAATATTAAAGGAACCTTTAGAAAGTGTTATAAGCTACTGCTCATGATAGACAGATAGCCTACCGGTAGGTGCTGTATCACAGCATATGAGTTTGATAGATAAGTAATAAAAAGGTGTAAAATTATATTCAGAGATAATAAAAACACTCCTAAAAAAGAATGTAACGAGAACAATCTTGTTATTCTTTTTCATTGTTCTTCTGTTCTTTATTAGCTTTCTCTTCAATTCATACACAAATTCAACAAGTTGCCATATTTAGGCTTACTCATTGGCCAATCACAGCCTTACTAAAGTTAGCATGGTTACTAATTACTTAATCACAGTTTACTAAGCATTATATCGTCATTATTCCCCAGCTGTTGTATCTGAAATCTGTTGTAACATAGCGCACAGCAGACAGAAGTGTAAAACGGAGCAGACGATTGTTGGCGCAAGCGTTGTTTCCATTTCATTTTCATCAAAGGTGCTGTGATGTTGATGTTTCCAAAGGGAGGGAGAGGGGGTCTTTATATTAAGGGAAAGACAGTGACAATTCGTTAAGCAGAGGTTACGAATGCTATATAGATATTCTGGCAATAACAAATTCCTTAAATTGAGGTGACTTATAAAACTCTAATTTTATTTATATGGAAAGATAAGTTTTCCAGTCCTGTACAACACTGATTCACGGTCTTTTCCCGGTAATCAAAATTCAAGTACAACTTGATACACACAGAATCTCCGGTTCCCAACCTGGATGATGGCTAGTTATTTAATTTAATTTACAGTTACATATTAGTACCCGTGATAAATCAAACCCGTTATGTAAGCCAAAGCCACACGGTTATTAATCTCACTTGGTTTTGGATTTGCTTACAAACATGATCGGAAATGGTTACAAACGTGATCGGAAATGGTTAGGGCCTACACAGTATTCGTAAACAGTATTTATGTAATCATATCAGTGACAGCTAGAAAAAGGAATCTTTATAAAAACAGCTGTTCGTAATGTCATATATGACGTGTTTTCTTAACAGATTATTAGTATTTCCAAATGACGTAAGTAGTAAAAATGGAGAAAAAAAAACTAGAAAAATCACACAAAATTGGGTTTTTGATCGTCCGTTATTTTATTTCCAAAATAGTGAGGCCATATTTTAATTGCTATAAGGACACTCACCAATCCTGTGAATACAATTAAACCATTAGAATCTTAATCGTTACTCCAGTTTTCTTTATAGTAGGCTGCGTAAAATGCCTTCTGGGCCGTGACAGACGGACATAAATTGAGATAAGACATGTTTCAACTTCTTCAATGTATAAAACGTAAAAATAACCCAAAATATGTATAATTCTGAGCAATGTACAGACAAAACTATAACTTTATTTATATAGATTAACTGGGTTTGAATTTTAAATATCTAAAAAAATGTATAAAACTTCTTCTAGTTTTACAAATAGTGCTGGACGGGGGAATAATGTTTCTCATTTGTTGTGTACCTCATTTATGGTGGGGGGGGGCTGTTGCTCAATTGGGGGGGGGGTGCGTCATGAGTCTAGGGGGGGATGGGCACCCCTGACATATAAATTGAATATATATATTTCTGTACATTTCAAATGGATTCAATATTTCCATAACCCAGTAACCAAGCTTTTGTATTTCTAAAAAAATACACAAATACGTATTAGCTGTCTCCAAACAAAACAGCTGTGGCGCACTACTGACAGTGTTGCCTTTGCCACTTCAGAACGTGGCGGCCTGGAGTTAGGTGGCCGTGAATCCAGGCACTGCTCCGAAAGGCAAATCTCAGAAAAACACCGATATTAAACTCATTTTCGGACCAGTGCCTTTCGTGGAGTGCCTGACCATGCAAATTCATTCGGGCCAGTGACTGGCCCTGCTTGAATTATTTTTGGAACAGTGTGTCTTAGTTTTGAAGCTATTGCCTTTCGTGCAGTGTCCAAGCGTTCATTTCATAGCGTAGATTTCTTTACTCCCCCCTCCCTCAAAAATAGCCACCTGCCTAAAAAAGTATATAACATATAACTTACCAGACAACTATCATAATACAGAACGTATATTAGGAAGATTCGATTTCTAATACAAAAATTATGACCTCGATGAAATAGTCACAATAGATGGTTCGGTAATTTCGAAATTATGAAATACGTATAGCCATTTCATTATAGAGCATTCAGGACTGTCCCGTTCACCAAACCCAGAAAGAAATTAAATAGCCACAAACGGACAAACACAAGACTTGGTAGTCGCTACAGGAATGAATAAAATATATGCATCAATTGTTTTTCTTCAATTTATATATTTTGTTCATTCCTATAGCAACTAAAACAAAACCTTGGAACACGTTTACATTGTTATCTCTCATACTGTATTTTACTACGGTACTTAATCTCATTGACACGGGGCGTTTCAAAAGTATCTCTTTTAGAATCCTGAAGGCAGAATCTGAAGAGTGCAGGTACTGCGGGGAGGAAGCGTAGGAAGTGTACGAGAGGCGGGAACTATTAAGAGGACCTTGTAAAACTTGGCTACCTAATTGAACGCGCAACATTACAGGGCATATGCTGGAAAGTAAAGATAAGTGGAATACCAAAGCTGAGATTGTAAGACAACCGTGAAACAAAAGAGCATTGAGTCAAGACTTGATTTAAGTAGATAATACTCTACTGGCCTGAAGTAAAATAATATGGTATTATGCACCATAATGAGACAGGGCACTAAAAAGGCCTTGTGCCATCCACCACTCAGCACAGTTT